GAGACCCCCTAAACTAAGCTTATAATATCCAAACATTAGGCGTCATCACCATCCAGTAGCAAGTGCATAGCTTCCTTCCTCCTAATTCTGAATACAAGAGTGTCAATAAATCTGAGACTTCCAGACAAATCTAATTTTCTTCACTTCCATTACCCTATTCTGGTCCATCAACGATTTCTAATCTGTCATCTGTCATACCCACCTAATTTATTTAAGAATATTGTGCCTCCGTTGACCTGTCTATAATCCTTTTCTTTTTTTTAATTTTCAGCTACACTTTCAATTTGCAGCTCCCATCCATACAAGCTGAAGTCCTTCAAAGACTTTTCCATTGTTCCAAGAAAAGAATTTTGGGGCTCTAAATGGCCTGATTAATATAGCCTCATTTTCCTTTATTTCTATAGTCCTGTGTTTGTTATCTCTTATAGATAGGGTGATAATGTAATCGACCACCCAAACACAAACACTCCTGCAAATTTAAAAGGTCTACTCTTGACAAACTGGCACATAAATTGATATCTCTCTGCTCCTATAATTTTTGCATGTTTGATATAGAAACTCTTTGCTTCCCTATGGTCTGTCATACTGTTTCTTCAGGTCCCAGATCATACCATTTCCTTAGGGAAAACTTCTCTTCGGGTCATCTTCATTGTGAATTCTCATCACAACGTATGCTTTACAGTTTTGTTATTGTGTAGCATGATCATTTTCTGCCTTGGACCTCAGCTCCTAAAAGTGATATTGTTTGTGCTATTATAATTCTCTCTTCTCCATATCAGCAGAATGTCCGGCACGCCATTTACTGAACGTCAGTAATAGGCATTAGGAACACAGTTCAAAGAGCATGGAAACACGTGCTTTATTATACAATGGCATGCTACACTTTCCGAACACACAATTGGCTGTCTAGAGGGGAGGTAAGAGCCTCTCCTACTAGTGTCTTTGTGTTAAGACTCTCAACATTTCTTGAAGATTTAAAACAACCTTCCAGAGTCGGATTCATAAGATATATTTTCCCCCATTTCCTTCTGGTGCTGCCCCCTGCCCCGTTTATGATTCTCACCTGTGCCCCACCTTGAAAATCTCACCCCTGCCTGAGAAAAGCTGAGAGAACTCTATCTTTTACTACGAGACACACCTTTCTAAAGACCTTATGAGAATGTGACTTATGTCAAATATTTGGAATAATGGGAAGTGATACTGGGGTCAGACTGTGAAAAGACAGACACATCTTGTATATTTATGTGCACCAAACGCAGGGGAGTGATTTAACTGTTTTAAGACAGAGGGAGGCTCTAGGTCAGCTGTTGAAGACAGATGTAAACAGAATTATTAAGTATTAGGAGCTGGGGAAGCAGCTGGACTTTGCAGCAGGAATGCTAGGTTGGATTCCCTTGCCACAGCTAGGTGTGGCCCCCGGAACATAGTGGGAATTAAGAGAGCTACAGATAAGGTATTGCACTGTAGTACTGTCCTCCCATTGTTCATCGATTTGCTTGAGCGGGCCCAGTAATGTCTCCATTGCGAGACTTGTAACTGTGTTTGGCATATTGAATATCTCAAGGGTAGCTTGCCAGGCTTTGCTGTGCAGGCAAGATACTCTGGGTAGCTTGCGGGCTCTCCTAGAGGGCCAGAGGAATTGAAGCCGGCTTGGCCACCCGGCAGCCGAAGGCGCACAAGGCAAACGCCCTACAGCTGTGTATACTCAGTAAAATAAACAGTAAAGGATTTGGGGGAAGATGGAGGGATACGGCATCAGTCACCTTTTTGCTTTATTGAAACTAACTGATGCCCTGAGACTAGTTTACCTTATTTTTTTCCTATTCTGTGTGCACACTTCATTGGTAGAAGCAGCTTCTTTGTAGCCACTTCAGCCCCATTATATTTTGCACTGTTGTCTCTTAGTGACATCCCCAAGTACTCTTTGAAATTTAACTTTGTTTCAAGAATTCATTAGTAAAAATATCCCAAACTCTACCAGAATCATATACAAAGTAGCTAAGATCTGAGAAAGTTGGCATGGGATGATGCTCTCCAGTTCCAGCTTGGGCTCTGCAAGCTGGAGGCCTGGGTCAGTGACTGGGTTTTAGAGAATACCCTAAGTGATCAGACTGGAACAGCCTTCCCCCCCCTCCCCCGCCCTGCCCAAGCCAAAACAAACAAAAGAAAAACCAGAGTGATTGATCCCAAAACAATGCAGGCTGGAAAGCCTAGAAATTCTGCATAGCAAGAAGCAGGGAAGGGTCTAGACCATTGAATTTAGGTGACTGGCTCCAGCTGGGATGCACTGCTGACCACGGCAGTTTCACTTTTCATGATTAATAGAAAACATACGTGTGTCAAGTCCATGTGTTCACTGTAAGGTGACTTGAGAGAGCGTGAGTCCTACTTACAGAGAACTTTATAGTGTAAGTACTGCATTTGGAGAGGTCTGTTTGGCAATGATCTGGAGGATGACGTCAAACTGAGATTTCAGAGTATTTAATCCCATCCCAATTGTTTTAGGCACAAGCAAATACTCTGCAATCTGAGCATTTACTATGAGACTAGCATTTTATCTCCAAAACAGTAACTGAAAAGCAAATGACTTCTCTACACATCTCTTAACTCAATCTACCTGAGACTCACCAGTAACTAGTTCTAGTGGCACCTACCAGAATTCACAACCCACATAATTTCAAGAATTTATAAAAGCAATATTCTTTCCAAAGAACATGAAATCTCCCAAACAGTAATCTAGCTAGAATAAAAGTCCTCTAGGGGATGTCCGTTTTCAAGGATACTGGTGGTGATGGGGTGAATTTATCAACATCAACCAGTCACCAGTAAACTCATTGTTTTTATTACCCATACACACAAAGTGAACTACTCAGACACAAATGCTTAACATTTTTGCTTTACATATTAAGACTTTTAAAAAGCTGTACTTTTGAAAAGACTGCTTTAATTTTCCACTTATACATTTCTCCAACTTCTCAAAAGTCATTCTTAAATTCTGTGGGGTCACAAAGTACAGTTTCTTAAATAGAGCATAATTTTTATCAGATATACATATCATCTAAATCCCTCAATTCACAAAAAAAAAAACTAGCAAGATTCTTTCCCTGCAAAAAGTGTCCAGAGTACGTAACCGTTGCATCGAAGTGCAAAGCTGTCACTAAAAAGTGAGATACTTTGAGAAATAAGGTCATACAGCAAATCTCTATAAGACAATGACAAAATGTACTATGAGTTAGAGCTGAATCCTTTATTAAATGATCACAGCGCTGATGACGTTGCCAAAAATTTTGGGGCTCCTTATATTCTTCACTTACCATTCCAGTAACCCAAGAGAAAGTCGTCGCAGGGGCAGAGGTTCAAATCAGGAAGGCACCTTTCCATCATACTTTTTTCCCCGGTGGGGGGAGGGGTTGGGCTACACCCTGCGTGCTCAGCACTTATTCCTGGCCGAACTCAGGATACCCTATGCGGCGTTGGGTATTGAACCCGGATGGGGTGTGCGCCAGGCGAGCATCCTATCGTCTGTACTGTCTCCCCGCCGCCCCACTCCTCCCACCCCCATGCTTCTTAAAAAAGCCAAATATTAAAAAAATCTGCTTGTATCTCCGACCTGTTAGGATACGATAATCAGAAAATCTTATGCTCAATGTCAGACCTCACACCCCAGCTTTATGACGACTGAGCAGGGAGCAAGGGGGAGGAAAGAAGCGGCGCAGAGATGCTCCGGCCACCCAGAGCGCAGACACAACCACCCCGAGTTACCAGTTCCGCAGCGCACGCGCCCACGAGGGCCGCCAGGCCGCCAGCGACCCGGGGGCACGCGCAGGGCTCCTGGGGAGGGAGCCGAGTCCCAGGCCGGGGCAGAGTCACAATCGCATGTCCCTCACGTGCTCCGGTTGGGGTGAGCGGGCAGGGGGCACGGCTAGGCTCACGGCAGGCCCGCGCAAGCCAGCGCTGCACACGCCGGACCTTTGCATTCGATCTCAGAACGGGGAGTGGGCGGGCGGGGAGAGGGGGGTCGCAGAGAGCAGCGGTCCGCTGACCACCGTCATCCTTGCGGGACCCGCAATGACAGTAGAGGCAGAGAAGGCGCTTCCCGCAGCTTCCCTAGGCGCCAGCCCGCCCGCCCCGCAGGAGGGACCCGGGCCGCCGCGGGCGTCCCCTTTGCAGCCGGGAGCGACCACAGCGGCCCCGCCCGGACTCCAGGAGCCGCTGCCGCAGGTCGTCCGAAGCGTAGGGAGTGGCGGGAGACGGTCCCCCGCAGGGGCCCAGCAGTCCGTCCCCAGGAGGCCCGGTGCGACGCGGCAGTCCGGGCTCGCGGCGCCTCCGCAACCGCCCGCCGCGCGGGCGCGACCCTCGCGCAGCTCCGCGAGCGCCCGCCCGCCCCCTCGGCGCCGTCTCCCTCTCCCCTCGGCCACGTCCTCGCGCCTCGTCCCGAGCGGCAGGAGCGTCCACACCCGCGCGGGGCCAGCGGACGGCTCCCACTTGCCGGAATCCGGAATCCGGCTCGGACCAGGAGCGGCCCGCCACCGCGGCGGCCGCGTCGGGCCACCCGTGCGCGGTCGGCGCGCGCGTCCCCGCCGGTGCGTGCGTGCGTGTGCGTGTGCGTGCGCGCGCGCGCGCCACGCCGCGACGCCCCGCCCCGCCCCGGCCCGGCCACCAATCGCGCTCGGCCCGGCGGCCCCGGCGGCCCCGGCGCGGCCCGCCCCGCCCCGAGCGCGCGCGCGCGCCCGCCCCGCCCCGCGGGACCCGGCGTGCGCGCGCGCGCCCGCCCCTCGGCCTCGCTCGCGCGCGCGCGCACGCGCGGCGGGACGGACGGGGGAGCGCGCCGGGCTGCTGACGTCGCGCGGGAGGCGGGGGCGACCGCGACCTCGGTGGCGGCGGCGGCGGCGGCTACGACGGAAACGGTTGCGCTCGCTGGCTGGCTCGCTCGGCCGTCATGGCGGCTGCCGGGAGCCGATAAGCGGCGGGAGCGGGAGCGGGAGCGGGAGCGCGCGCGCGCGGCGGCGGCGGCGGCTCGTTACTTCTCGGCCTCGCCGTTGGCGCCCCGAGGATGAACTGATTGTCGGGGCCGCTCGGCAGGGGGTCGCGCGTCGGTGCCGCGGGCCGGGGCTCCCCGTCCGCCCTCGCGGCCTCTCCCTCCCCGCTCCCGGACTCTGCTCACGCCCGCGCCGCCCGGAGCCCGCGGACGCGCTCGGCGGCGGAGACCGCGGGGCCCCGGGCGCGGGGAAGGCCGCGCACCCGAGCCGGCCGCCCCCGGCCCCGCGCAGCCCGCGAGCGCGCCGGTAAGAGGAGGGGGCGGCCGGCGGGCCGGGGGCGGCGGGGGGCGGCCGGGCCGGGCCGGGGTGGGGCCGCGGGGCCGCGGGGCCGTGGGGCCGCGGCCCGGGGGCGGGCGCCGGGCGCAGGCCGGGGCGGCGCTCCGGGGCCGGGGCGGCGGAGCCCGGCGCGCAGGGGGCGTGATGGCCCGTGCAGGCCGGCGCCCCCCAGCGTCCCCGGCGGCCTCCGGGCGTGGGGCCGGCCCGGGCCCCCAGCACGTGGGCGCGGCGACGGGGGAGGGGGCGGCGGCGGCGGCCGGGCCCCGGAGGGCGCGGGGCGGCGGCCCGGGAAGTTTGAGGCGGGAAGCGCGGGGCCGGGGCCCGGCCGGAGGCCGCGGGGAGGCGGAGCGGCCGGCGCGGTGCCCGCCTCCTGCCGGGGCCCGCGGCGGAAACTTGGACGCGCCGGGCGGCCCGGCGGGACCGGGGCTGGCCGGGGATCCCGCTCCCGCGTCCGGGGGCGCACGAGCCCCGAGAGGGGACTTTGGGGAGGGACGCGGGGGGCAGCGCTGCCGAGCGGCCGAGCCCACTTTATTGTTGCGCGCCCGGCAGCGGCACTGTTGGCCGGGACAGTTACTTCTTGCCGGGGCGCCGCGCGGCCGGCCCCCGTACCCCGTCTTTGGGGGGTGCTGGGGGGCACAGCCCGCGGGGCGAGTGCAGCGCCTCGGCGGCAGGCTCGGGACTTTCTGGCCCGGGAAGGATCTGACGTCTCCGTCCCCCGCTTCTTCCTCTCCCTCCCCTGCCCGGCGTCTCCTTTGTTTATTCGTGCCGGGCTCGGAGGTGACGCTCCGGCCCGAGCGGAAACCCGGGAGGCGAGAGCGCGGCGGCCAGGCCTTTTCGGACCCTGAGCCAGTTCTTGCGGGGAGTCCGGGGGGCGCCGAGCCTTGCGGGCATCCCGGCGTGCGCGGCGCCTGCGGGGATCCCGGAGTGCGGTATCTGCATGGATCCGGGAGTGCGCGGTGCCTGCGGGGCTGGGAGCCCCGGCAGCCCCGGCAGCCCCGGCCCGGCGGCGATGCTGGAGGCTGGGCTCGGCGCCGGTCGGCCCGCGGGCGCGCGCGCTCACCCAGACTCGCCCGGGCGGATCGCAGGTGCCCCGCACGCCCTCTGGCCTCGAGCATCTTCCCTAACTGCCCCTTCGAGCACACACATTCTCCGAGTTGGGTTCGGCGTGGCCCCTTTTCCTCCTCTGAGCCTCGGAGCATCCTTTGAGAATCGGATGTCCTGGCACGGCGTGTGTTACAGTTGCCGGCGAGTGTTACAGTTGCAGTGCTTCGCGGTCTGTTCAGAGTGTCTCTGAGTGCGTGCGCATCTCGCTACAAAGTTACGCGCGACCTAGTTTCTGAAAGTTTCCAAGCCCTCCAGACACTTGAATGCAGTTAACAGTGATCAACGGTTTGCTAGACCCCCTAAAAGAAAGTTGTCACTCGTAAACTTGACTGCCCTAGAAGACGACCCTACCCTGATTTGTCCCAAGTAGAAAACGGCGTTACCCGTCTTCTCTCTGTGAGAAACTTCCTTACTTTCTTAATATCTTCTCTTTAGGTGGATAAAAATCCCTGGAAGTCTCTGAATGTTGAAGAAAATTCGACTGAATTTTTGATATTCAAGTGGGAGTCAGTATTTATATTCATCTTTTAAACTGGGAAGATTTATATTTTATATTAAAACTTCTTGATATTTACAATGAATGGACACAGTGATGAAGAAAGTGCTAGAAACAGTAGTGGAGAATCAAGGTAAGCACTCGATTATCTATTATTTTGTGAAGAAACTTTTGAACTTCATAAATTGATTTTCCTTATAGGTGGCAGTTTTCAAATTTAGATTGTTTTTATCTGGCCAGATAATCAAAGCCGTCCGTTATGTGAAGCCTTATTATTAATACTAATCAATGTCTATTTTCTTTTAAGATGTACAAAGAACTTAAATGTAGAAAAAAATGGCGTAGTGAAATGTTTGGTGCTTTATATTTGGGTTAATAATAAAAGTCAGAGCAATTAAAATACTTAAATTGACCTGGCTATTAATCTACTTCCAAATAAAGGCAGTAAAATTTTTATTTTGTTTTGTGACTGTTCACATAATGGCCACCAGCCACAGGTGGCTACTTAAAATTAGGAAACATCAGAATGTAGTTACTCTAATACACTTTGTCAAATATTCAGTGGTCACAGGTGCCTGGAGCTCAGCTACCGTGGAAGGGATAGTGCCAATAGCAGCATCCAGTGTTGCTATCACTGCAAAAGTTTTCTTGGCTATTTTTTTTGTTTGTTTGTTTTTGGGCCACACCTGACAGCTCTCCGGGCTTGCTCCTGACTGCACTTGGTACTCCTGGCAAGGTTAGGGACCTCTAGGGTTGCCAGGATCCAACCTGGGTGGCCTTGAGCAAGGAAAGTGCCTTATTGCTGTACTGTCACTCCTACAAAGACTGTTTAAATTCTGGAGCCCTTGCATTATGAGTTCAAAATGTAAGGACTCTGACGGAAGTTTAATCGGTTATTGAATCTTAAGGTCACGCATGTTAAAAACATACGTAGTTTTATCCACTTAAGTGTAGAGAGATCAAGAATATGGGTCAAAGATAGAATTTTCAATTTCTTATTCAAGTACGCTTCTTGCTCAGGTCTGCTTCTTACTAGCTGTAGGACAAATTATCAAACCTCTGCGAGTTTAGTTTTGTACTTAAAAAAATGTAGATTGAAAAAATAGGAAAAAAAAGTAGATTATAGTGTTATGTATTTAAACTTGAGAATTGAGTAAGATCTTCCATGAAAGGGGCTTAGAATTTCTGATACAATAGCACTCAATATTTGATGATCATGATTAGTTTCAGAATAGGATACTAGAGAGCTAAAGTGTCCATTATAATAATGTAGAGGTAGAAAGGACAAGAAAAGGAATGGATGTTAGGATGGTTTTAGGAAAAATACTGGTTAGTAAATAAAGCAGTTAAAAGAATGAGGTAAACTGTAGATAGAGAGATTTTCTTGGCATGAAGCAATACATGAATATGAAAATACTTAAAAAGTCTAAACTGCTTTAAAATTGATATACATTATAAATTAAGTTAAATTTTAATTTCATTGGTTAGAATCTTTAACTAATTTTGTAGTTTTAAGTTGATTTGTTTTTTGTTTCAATTTTTTAGTTCTTTTTGGAAGTTTAAAAAGTGAAGTAGGAATATGACATTTATGGTTGTGTGCTTTCTACTGAAAATGCTTATTTTAAGAAATTCTTTTCACATGGGAGGCTTTTATAGTCATTTAGGAATACACAAGAGAAGATACTGTCAGGTCACCAACTGATGGCTTAAAATGTAGTTACGTGGATATGTGGGTTAGGATGCACCTGTATAAGTTTCAGCTCAGTAGAAAGTTGATTATATAACAGAAGTTAAGCTTTAGGAAGTTTCTATTAGAAGATTTTAACGTATCAATTGCCAGCTGTGTGGATTTATGTTGATACTTGTAACTAAGTTTTTTAATCCTGGTTAGGTTTTTGTTGTTGTTTCTGGGCCACACCTGTGTGTGCTCATGGTTTATTCCTGTCTCTACATTCAGAGGTCATTTCTGACAGTGTTCTCTAGGGCCATATGGGGTGCTGGGGATTGAACCCAGGCAGGCCCTGTGTAAGGCAAGCACCTTACCTGCTGAATTCTCACTGGGTCCAGGTTCTTCAGTATTTTTGTTGTTTGGGGGGCCATATGGAGCAGTGCTCAGGACTTACTGCTGGCTCTGTGCTCACATTTCACTCCTGGCAGGACTCGTGGGACCTCGTGGGGTGCTGGGGATCGAACCCAGGTTGGCTGCATATAAAGCAAGCACCCTACCAGGTGTACATCACTCCAGTCCCATTTTTTGTAGTAATGGTTTATGGGTAACGGCCAGAAATCAGTGAAACCAACTGGCTAATTCTTGGATATTTGCTCAATAAGTAAAAAGTAAAGTAAAGGCCCTCCCGTTGATCGTCGATTTGCTCGAGCGGGCCCAGTAACGTCTCCATTGGAGACTTTGTTGTTACTGTGTCTGGCATCTCGAATACTCTCGGTAGCTTGCCGGGCTCTCCGAGAGGGGCGGAGGAATCGAACTTGGGTCGGCCATGTTGGCTGCGTGCAAGGCAGACGCCCTACCCGCTGTGCTATCCCATGTAGGCAATATTCTCATACTGTATATAAGTCACTTTCTTCCCAGTCCCCCTTCTTAGTTTGGGGATGGGGAAAGTTGGATATCTAACAGTGTTCAAATGCTGATCCCAGTGGTCGGGGACTTGGGATCATGTGGTTTTGGGGATCAAACCTGGACCTCTTGAATTTGTAAAGCATGAGCTCTAGTCCATTACCTGCCTCTGGCCTTTGAGAAAATTTTCTTAGCATAGATAAGGGGTTGCTAGTCTTGTTCTTTAATGGATTTAATTTTTGGAAATAACTTTGTACTAGCAATTGAACTTCTTGTAAGTCTTAGAATTCTGTTATTTCATTATATATATATTTTAGTAATAACTGCATCAATATATTAACATGTTTCAAATACGTATGTATATTCATAAACTTTGTTTACTTAAAAGAATTGTTTTCCACTTAAAATTTTTTTCCTTGCCTTTGAGGAGCCAGAGTCCAGAGGTACTTGAATGAGGTTCCAGCAAGTGGCTAGTCCTGGTTTAATTCCCAGCACCACACATCAAATTTTCCTTTATACCATACACTGCTGGAGCGATAGCACAGCGGTAGGGCGTTCGCCTTGCACGCAGCCAACATGGCCGACCCGAGTTCGATTCCTCCACCCCTCTCGGAGAGCCCGGCAAGCTACCGAGAGTATTCGATATGCCAGACACAGTAACAACAAAGTCTCCAATGGAGACGTTACTGGGCCCGCTCGAGCAAATCGACGATCAACGGGAGGGCCTTTACTTTACGTACTTTACCATACACTCCTGGACATAGCTCTGGAGGCCCTGACACAGTGCAGGATGGCCCTGCGGGGTCTCCCAGCATCCAGGACCCCAGTAGTCTCATGCCTTCAGGCCCGTGCATTAACTTAAACATTGCATTGAACTGCTGGGCCATTTAGCCCAGGGGAGCTGAGACTCTTACTTGGCCCTCTGAGCACCCCTGGGGATGCCCCACACACAACACATCCAGATGTGTTTGTGTGTGCGCGTGTGTGCATACATCTAGCGTGTGTGTGTGTGTGTGTGTCTGTAATTGGCTTGTAGAGCATTAGCTGGTTTTCTGCCTTAAGTTTTTGGATCTCACAGGTGTTTTTGTGAAGGCAGTGTGGTAAGCATTGAGAAGTGAGTGATCAGTGGAGATATACTAGTTTAAAATCTCTTTAAGGAGTGAGAAATTTTAATGACTTGGAGATCTGTAGTCTAAAGTCAGTGTTTTTCAGCATTTTTGTTTATTTTTAATGTGCTCTGGGGTGCTTAGGGTTTTCTCTTAAGGGCTGAGCTCTGGTTGGCTTGTAGGCTGTGCAAGGCGAGTACCTTACCTACTGGACTGTCTCTCGGTTGCCAAGGTTTTCCACCCAAGGGCCTGTACCTCTCTGAGCATCAGCAGTCGGAAGCACTGCTCTCCAGTGTCTTAGCTGTCAGGAGCACCATTTCAGGGAGTTGAACCTTGGCCATACTTTCCTTTTAGTGTCCTGTTATTGAAAGCGTTTTTGTGTGAACACAACACTGTCCTCCCGTTGATCATCAATTTGCTCGAGTGACCCAGTAACGTCTCCACTTTGAGACTTGCTGTTACTGTGTCTGGCATATCGAGTATGTCATGGGCAGCTTGCAAGGCTCTGCCGTGCGGGCGAGAGACTCTCGGTAGCTTGCCGGGCTCTCTGAGAGGGGCGGAGGAATCGAACGCGAGGCAAACCCTACCGCTTGTGCTTTCGCTCCAGCTTTGTGTGAACAGTGTGCATTTTTTATTTGTAACTCAGGAGCTGTTCCTGGCTTGTTGCTGGGGTGTGGGGTTGGGAAATAAGACAGGGTCTGCTTCTAGCAGTGCTTAGGGGCATTTGCAGAACCCGTGTTGAACCTGGACTCCTCTTGCATGCAAGGCATGTGCTCTAGCTGTGCTCAGGGCTTCATCCTGACTCTGCTGAAGGATCCACTCCAGGCTGGGTTCAGGGGACCTACAAGGTGACTGGGATTGAACCTTGCTGTCAGTAGTGTCGGTAGCATGGTTGCAATCATGTTATCTCATGATTCTTATAAGCAGAGTTCCTGCACCTTTGCCACCGTCAAAGTGTCCAAGCCCTTCCACCATTGTTCTCGTGTTACCTTCCTTCATCCCTCCCCTTCCCCTGCTTTGCTAAGGCCCGGGGCTTGCTCTCATTAGATCCAGCGTATCTCTTGTCTTATGTCTATTACAGATGGTTGAGTCCATTGGGTATTTGTCCTCTGCTCTGACTTCACTTGTGTGCCGCTTGTAACTGAGAGAGCTCGTCTTTCCTTACAGCTGTATAGTATTCCATTGTGTCTCTGTTCTACAGTTCGCTTCCCTGTTACCTGTCTTTGAACATCTGGGCTGTTTCCATAATCTGGATTTTTGTACTTAGTGATGCAGTGATCATAGGTATGCAGACATCTTTTTGAGTTGTTTTGTTTTCTGGGTTTGATGACTAGAAGTGGGATTGCAGGGGTTGTAGGGAAGATCTAGTCTTAATTTTGGGGGGGTGGGGGGTTTTTGGTCACCCCTGGCAGGGGGCCCAGGGCTTATGCCTTCTCCTAAGCTCTGTGTTTGGGG